AATTATTTGAAAGAGTACTATTGACAGAGTTATTCATATTCTGAGTAATCTCTGAACTTTTACATCCAGCCACATCAAGAGCCAGCACAAAGAGTCCATTGCGCAGATCAGCTGAACCAAGTATCTGGTGTGTATTGATCTGCTTGATGGAACACATGGAACCACGAAAAATCAGTTCACATTGCAAATTTTGTAGCAATTTAGCAACTGATATCAGATTAACACAAAAGCCAGGAACATACAATACATTTATCAACTTCAGTGTATTAGACAATGTAACAGTTCCTGAATGTGAAGCAATGACTTTCGATCCATTAGGAAGAGTAATAACTATAGGTCTGATTTTATTCAAGGAAGAAAAATAGGATGCAACAGATGTAATGTGATCTGTTGCACCTGTATCTAAAATCCAATTGTCCAAGAACTTACCAGAGGATTGAATATTGGCATTGAATGCCATTAATGGTTGCGTCTCCACCATGTTAGTGGCATGATGATGATCATTTTTGCGCTCATCAGATTGAATTCTTGAGTGTTGAATCACATCAATTAAATTATTGTACTGCTCCTGTGAAAACACCACTTGATTTCCTCCTTGTTCATAACTATTTTCTCCATCAAGATTACCAACAACTGCATTGGCTGAAGTCGATCTTGGTTTTAGTTTATATCCAGGAGGATAACCGTGTTTCACATAGCACGTTTCCACAGTGTGGTTTGTTTTGCCACAGTGAGTGCAAAGTTTAGTGCCACGCCCTTTAACAACTTTATTCTTGATAAAGTTCTGAGTGCGTCGTTGATCTAGGGCATAGGCCTTTGATTCTAGTGAATTATCACCATGGAACTCAGAATTCATCTGACGTTCCTGCTGTGACACTAGAGAAAAGGCTTTACTCACGTTAGGTAGAGGCTCAATCATCATGATCTGAGATCTAACCTGTGAGTACTGGTCATTCAGTCCGCGAAGGAATCTGATAACCTGATCTCTTTCTTTGCACTTCTTTATTTGATCACTAACGTCACAGGCACACACTGGTACGCATCTACACTTTGGCAGTGGTTGAAGGTTGTCCAGTTCATCCCACATAATCTTCGATTGTGTGAAGAAATCTGACACTGAACATTCACCTTGTTGAAGACGAAATATATCTTCTTGAAGATCAGAAATTCTGAAGACATCAGATTGGGAAAATCGATCTCTAAGATCTTTCCACACATCAGAACCGCGTTCTATCCATAGAATGGATTTTGCAATTGATTCTTCAATGGATCTATGGATCCATGAAACCACCATAGTGTTGCATCGTTGCCATGCTGGAAAGAGTGGATCATCAGCAGTTGGAACGGCGAAGCTTCCATCAACAAAACACTTTTTATTTTTAGAGAACAAAGCCATCGTCATTGCACGCAACCAGCTGTGGTAGTTTCGTCCATTCAACGGTGGAGAAACTAAAACCAACGATGGTGTCTCATTTGGATGGAGGTAAAGTGGATTTGATGGATTAGTCAAGTAATCTGGGAGAGAGCCCTGGCCCGCCATGGAAATTCACAATGAAGAACTCAAGAATAGAGGAAAGAAAGAACTTCAGAAGGATTGAAAATGAAGAAGGAATGGCGAGATACCAGAGCTCTAAGAGAGCTCTGCTACCATATTGAGAATAGAGAAGAAATAAAAGAGTTTCATATTATTGAATCTAATGAAAAAGATTACAGGGTTATTCAATATATAGTAACCTGATAAAACTAAAGATCAGAACTACTAAGCTAAAACAGAAAAGCTAACAGATAACAAATTCCGTAACAGAAAAGATCTAAGCCTAACAAAGTAACTAACTTTTAAGTTAAGAACTAACTCAGCTAACTCTGAATATACACGTGGATAATTTAATATATCAACAAGATTCATTAACGGACAACACCAAAATAAAAAGTAGAAATTTGTTAAAGTCAAACCAAAGAAGCTGTATGTACAATGAAAATCATAACAATTCGAAATCCTTGCTAAATGACCTGAAATTTAAATAGGTGAAAATAGACATCTTAGACTTTGAAATGACATATAATTTTCCTCATTTGGAGGTTTATAGCTCCAAAAATGAATTGTTGAAGACAATTGACAAAATCACATCATGATAATATTTGGTTACCTAGTAGGTAGATCTAGTTGGTTCCAATTGAACTTATTTTGTTATAGTGTTCAGAAAAATACGAAATGTTCCGGTTTAAAAAAATATTTTTTTTGGATAAATCACAAGTATTTTTCACGGGAGGCAATCATGTTTGGAGAGAGTTCAGAATTAAGACTTTAAACCTCTCCTAAAGATGATACTGGGTTCCTAAGGCCTGAGATGTGCAACGATTAAGTTGGCATTCCTATCTTAAGTACAGAACAGAGCAATCAACTTATATTTTGCACAAACCCCTGCATATTTTTTCAATTAAATTGATAATTTAGAGACACGTAGTACACTTAATAAACTTTACAATGCAATTGAAATCTCACTATTTGAAGGTCTTTGGACTGAGATATGCATTTGAGAAGTTGGCTGTGGTGTCCACTGGAAAAAGGAAAACAAGAAGATAATGCAGGAGTTCTTGATGAGTTCAAGGTGTCTCGGTCAAGTGCGATCTTGAGGGAAGGTGCGCCCTCTTTGTGTGCGTGTTAGGTTCAGAGAAACCTAATGAAGAAACAGAACAGAAAGAACGAAATGTAACAGAGAATTGATATTGAATTTTTATTGAATGAATTGCAATCTGGTTTCCAGAATGTTATATACATGTTTCCACTCTACCATCGTGCTACCTACTTGATCACGTGTCATCTAACTAACTTCCCACTTCAGGAATACATACAACCGTATACACATGTAAGCTAACCGTTTAACCACTTCAAGAAATTTTTCTTGTTCTTTATCTTGAGAAGTTTTGTTACAACTTTTTGACTCATGAATTATAAATCTTGTTGATTGATGTATCATTCATTAAAGTCTGAGTGCTCTGTGATCATTTCTCTGATTGAATCATTCCTATCCAAAATCCATGCAATTGAGATTTTTCGCTCCAATTTCCCTTAGTTTTACTCTGATTTATTGCTGGGGACAACAATGTGCAAATCCGGGAATTGTTTGATGAGTCTCCAATTTATTATGTATTAAGGATTAATATGAGTATGAAATTAATTTAAAAATAATTAAAAGTTATGAGAATTATAATTAAAGAGTTATTTTATTCTCAGTAATATTATCATAAAAATTCTTATATTTTGCAGTAATTTTCAGCTCAATAAAAAGATAAATTGGAGAGCTCAAGTGGATTTGTTTTGAATTTCTAAATCATATAATTGATTGAAGATCTTATTGAAGAATTTCTTGAATATATTTAAGGAAATTTTTTCCTTTAAATATAAAAGTGAAGATTTTAAGGATTTGATTAAAGATATGATTGGAATTTCTAGTGAAGATTCCAATGAAGATATTATGAAAACTTAAAAGATATGGTTTCATCACTATAAAAAGGCTGGCACATTCAGAAAGAGGGGAGCTTTTGACAAATTGGAGATAGAGAATCCTAAATTGAGGAGGGAGAAACAGTTTTCATGCTTTGGAGCATTGGGAGCGGGTTGAATTTAAGAACAAACTGAGAGTTTTGAGGATTCTTCACGCCATCACACCAATGGAGATTGGGGGATTCTCTTTACTTTTTCTTGTCTTTGAGTACACTATGCTAAGCTAGATCTTTTTTGTAGTTAGGTTCAGATAGACCCCATTTGATTCTTTATGCTTATGAGTTAAATTGTGTATGAGATTCTCCTCTTTTTACATTTGAATGAATTTATCTATTTTTCATGCTTTCTATGAGTTTGCTTCTTGTAGATTGATTTAGGAGAATTGTATGACAATAGGGATGTTGGTACATGAACCTTGAGTTGATAAATTCATCATAATCCTTGTGATATGGGAATAGACATAGGGCAATTATGTAATCTTTAAATTATTGATCTTAATGCATGTTTTCTTGAAGAACAACCGAGGAATTAGAATTTTTTCAAGATCACATAGAATTAGGGTAACTAGAAATTGAGCCTTAATTAATTTAGAAAGAATTGATTGACATTATATTAAGAGCAGTTCTTGACTATTTAACTCATAGCATAAAGAAGAGATTGGGGGAAGTAGAACCCTTAACTATGTGTCTTTCTTGATTTTCAAAACCAACTTCTTTTTGATTGCTTGTTTTAATTATGAAATTTTATGTTCTTGATCAATCTTTACTTTAACTTCAAGTTTCTTGTAAGCGATTGTCCAACTAAAGCGTGAGTAGTGAACTAGTGCTTGAAAATCAATCCTCTTGGGAACAATCTCATACTCAAAATACATTTTTATTACTTTTACAACCAATGAACTTGCCGAAGTCGCAACAGTAATATGAAAGAACATCTCCTTAAACTGGTAAATTAAGTATTGCACTTTGTCTTCCAGGCTTTCCACCCTTTCCTCCATGCCTGTGCTGTGATACCAATTGATACGTACAAAATAAATAAATAAATAAATAAGGGAATTTGACTTTGTTTTGGAAGCTTGACCTCAAATAAAATTATGACTTTAATGAGAAAGTCTGACCTCTTGCACAAGTGCCTTTTGGAATAAATTTTCTATTCAGATATTTTATTCATCACAATTGAAAGTTTAAATAGATAAAGTTATCACACAATCATAATCATAAGATACCATAATCCTATAACTATCCTCCACTAAGGATCAAGGTAATCACCCATAACTATCCCACACTCCATTTTCTGGACTAATTCAAATTACCGCCTAAAAGGAATAACAAATAGCCAATTACAACAATAACAAGTTGAAAAAAAATAACAAATAACAAATATAAAATAATATAATTAATAATTAATCATCCATAATAGATATCCTGTTATTTGCATCCCAAGTCTCGCTTCAACATATATCTGTACGTAGAATTATATATGTATGAATATGTCCCAATTAATTTTTGTTGGGTATCTCGGAGATCTCCATAGCTGCCTTGAATATGTCTTCAAAGGCCTTCTCCATAAAGCCCTTGAATTTCTGTTCATCTATGAATCCCTTTAGTGTTCTCAAGGTGATTCTTAATACTCTCTCATAGCTCATAATTGTAATGTTTACATTCTGCAACCATACAAGTAAGCATGTTAGAACACGAATAATCCAAGCTTGTGAGACATTTTCTTATCGACTATAAATCAGAGGTGGTAGCCAAACTTGTTACTCTTTCAACAAGTGTTGCCAAGAAAAGAAAATGTCTAGTCAAAACAAGAGCAAAGAGAATATAATGAAACTTTAAACAAAGAACGATACCTGAGGTCCACCAGTCATGGTGAAATACAAGCCTTTTATAGGATGATTTGCCAAAGCCATTTGTTCTACTGGCCCAAGTATGTTTGAGATAACAATACTAGAGTTCCCAAGAGTGTTGTAGATTGTTTTACCTACAGCCTAAAACACCAATACAATAAATCAGAGAAATTGAACAGAATAAAGCAGAGAAGCTGTATACCTTACTAAAAAGGCTGACTCTCTGAACCAATTAATATAATAAATTAAATTACACATGTATACGTACCTCGGGTCCTCTTAATTTCATCTCAAGATCCAAGAACAGACCTATGAGATAAACACTGAAAGAACGTCTCTTCCTCTTGATTAGTTTACGGGCATTCCAAACAAACTCAAGAGGGTCGGAGATTCTTGATTGGCTTAGCTTAGGTATTGCTACTTGCAAGAAAGAAATTTTATTCCCCCAAAGACTTTTGGCCTCAGGTTTTTGCATTTCCTTGACTGATTGGTAAGCTCTAATATTTCTTGTATTGAGCATTACCACAGCTGTGGAATTGGATGATTTTGTCTTGTTGTTAATCTCTTGCATGTAAAGTCGAATCCCATAGAAGATGATCCCGGAAATCACATCATTTATTGTCTGCATTTGTAATAAACTGTTTGAGTAGTAGAAATCGGTATGTTTGACTTTACAGGTGTAGTATGTTAATGGAATGGAATACGGATCTAGTGAGACAAAGGTAAGGACCTAAACTCAATACAAGAGTCACCGCAAGTGGCTGAGAATCAAGGGGATGAGTTGGGAACGATGGCTTTTGTGGCTGTATTCCAGAGGTAACAGCAAGGTAAACGAGTGTCCAAAACGTGTCTCTTCAATGGCATTAAATTATGGGATATATACATAGGGGTTAATATTTAACTAATCACTTGACATAAACTTAACTCAAGTTATCCCTATGTACTACATGTAGTACAGTGTTATAATGTTAAAGTTGTTTTTTTTTTTTTTTCTTTTTCCTCTGTCACCTTTCAGAATTTGTTTGTTGACGTGGAGAGAAAAAAAAGTAACTTTAATATTATAACTATGCATTATTCACAATACAAAATTAAAAAGGTAGCTGGAGATAAATTTATCTAAAGTGGCTAAAGACATTTTTTTTCTCATATATATATATATATATATAGATTAAAAAAATTCTCCAATCATAGAAAAGAGTGAGCCCATAACAATTTTGCCCTTATAGCCTCACAAGGTGAAAGGCAAACATTTTCACATGGTGCATGGATATATCATATATGTGCATGGGGAATGAGATTAGTATTAAAATAATATTTATCTCACTTTAAAGGTACACACATATGTAACCCCTAATATGAATTTTAGTGGCTGGGGTTAATTGTGTGGCTGATCTAAAACGTATAGTAATAATAATAAATAATTAGTCTAGTTTAATCTGTTGACAAAATTAACGTAGCATGACCTAGCTAATCTTACCACTCCAAGCTTTGACTTGATTCCTTTGATATGATCAAGAGATAATGATATGTTTGACAAGGTAAAAGGCTGAGAATCAGTTCCTTCATATCCAGACCTTATGGGTGTTATGTCATCTTTAGTCATTTTTGCCTTCATTAAGCTGGACCCAAAATCTGATATGGAGCTACAAAAGGAGGAGATATCTGAAGGTAACTTCTTAAACAAGCTTTTCTTTGCATATTGTGAATGTGATAGTGCTCTTGAAGGTAAAGATAGTGGAAGAGAAGGGTCATCAGCTCTTTGTAAACAAGAAAGAAGAGCACTCATGAGGGAATAACCATCTCCAAGCGCATGATGAAGTTTGAAAATTATGGTGCCAGCAGCATTAATTGTTGGATACTTGATCATATGGATTTCCCACAGTGGTTTGTTTTGAGGTGTTCTTTCTGTTAGAATCCTTGACACATAGTCACTAAGATATTGGTCATATAATTCAGATGAAGTTTTGTCAGGAAATATTGGAATCTTTACATGCTCTGCAGGCTTCACTTCAACCCGTTTCCATCTCATTTTACCATCTCTGCCTCTGACCTGTGGTAAAAGTGTAAAACACTCAATTGAATAATAAAAATTAAGAAATGGTCAATATGATGAATTGTCAAGTAGCTTTATGAAATTTTTGGTAGTTTTAGATAAAATGCAAACGTAGTACCATGATAGAGGAGAAGCGTGGGTTTATAGGGAGGAAGACATCTTTCAGCAAAGTTATAGCTGGTGACTCATCAATTGGAATTGCTGTTTCCAGAAAGCTAAAAACATAGGAACAAAACACTGAGCTGTTGAAATATTGTCCTGGAGGACTCACTGGCTCTTGAACCTCTTCATAGAAATTTTCCATTATGGTAGTGTTTGTGTGTTAATGAGAGACTTGATGTAGAACTTCAATAAGCCAAGCCCAGACTGATGATATATATATATATATATATATATATATATATATATATATATATATATATATATATATAGCAGTACGTTGTATAAATTTAAATAAGACATAGAACTATCCTTATCTTGTTTTATAAATCATGTTTGCACACTTAAGCTAAAAAATATATATGGTTTGGAGTTGGAAGATAATTAAGGACAATTGCACACCTAACAAATCAAACTTTTGGGTCGATTACCTACAACATCATGTATACATCTTTCAATTCGATACCCTATTCTTCCTTGTGTTCTGCTTGACTTCAGACTTAGAATGCTTCTGCTGAGTCTTGGAGAATAAAGAAAATATTATTGTAAAGAACCAATTTAACTTAATATTAATGATTTTATATATATATGAAACGTTCTCTCACACACAAGAGTTTATCGGGTTTGAAGTATAGATAATGCATCAGTTTAATTATACTAAGAAATTTCACAAGACCTAAATAATTATTAATTAAATGGGGCGGTAAAGATCGAATCCATAATACTAAGGTTCTGATACCATATAAAGAATCAATTCAATCCAAAAATTTAAAGCTTAAACTATTGAGTAAAACTGCGTTAATAATTTTATATATATATGTAACAGTTATTAAAAGAGTTGCTTTTTTATATGTAACTAACAAAACATTAATCAAGTAATGGATGAAGTAGGGGAGAAGAAATTTGAAAAAGAAAATGCCTTAATACCATCCCACTTAAAGCTGTCAAATTAAGAGTATTCAATTATCCGAGCGAGAGTTAGGTATTCAACTAGAATCTCAGCTTAATTATTATCTCTTTCTATCTATTGTTTTCTTTGTTCGAATATTTACAATTCAAAAAGCTCCTAACAAATTTTAAGCTGTTTAATTTATTTGTGGTACTTTTAAGAAAAAAAGTGTTTTTTAATTAAAAATATATGTTTAGATTTATCTAGTAATTAAATAAGTTAAAAAAAGCCTAAAAAGTATTTCAATATATTTTTTTCATAATTTTAAATAAGTAGTTTCTAAAAAATATACTAGAAGAAAAGTTAAATCGTGTATATATATAGGGTTTGTTTTTTCTAAAGTTACTTTAGATAACTTTATCTAATGTTCATCGAAACGACGTCGTTTTGAGGCAGAAATCATGGTATTTTTGGAATTTTAATTTATTTCAGGGTTATAATAGTCTTTATCATTCTAATTTTTTAATTTTTCAACCCCAAAACGACGTCGTTTTGATGAACATTAGACAAAGTTATCTAAAGTAATATTAGATACTTTTTTCCCACACATATATATATACATATATATATATATATAGGGAAATGTTATACTTATCACCAATTAAGTTTACCAATTCTTTTCACTAAATATTAATCGTTGATTTTCGTCAATCTAACGGTTATAATTTATTGGTCCGTATTTATTAATTAATTATTAATTTTTAATAAATAAATACGACATATTTTCTAAGAGAAAATTTTTTCTCCCGTAACATGAGATAACTTTATTTCTTGCAATCTCAAAATAAGGTCGTTTTGAAATTTCAGAGAAAAAATACATGATATTTTAAAAAATTTATTTCCCCTAATATCTTGAATTTTATCGAAATATTTTATTTTATTTTTTTAAATCTTAAAATGATGTCGTTTTTGAATTGCATGAAATAACTTTATTTTCTAGAAAAACGTTAATCCCTTCTTTAAACGATTCAATATATTAAATTAAAATAATAATAAAATTTAAATTAAATTAAGGAAAATCAGGTTATAAATACTTAACTTCGTTTTACTTTTCCGTAATATAACGGTTGTGATCGGTTGTAGTTGGTATATCATATGAATGGGTGGCCCATACAAAACATAGGAACAAGTACACTGAGCTGTTGAAATATTGTCCTGGAGGAGTCACTGGCTCTTGAGCCTCTTCATAGAAATTGTCCATTATGGTTTGGAGTTGGAAGATAAGGACAGTTGCAGACCTAACAAATTAAGCTTTTGGATCGAATAACTACAAAATCATGTGTACATCTTTTAATTCGATACCCTATTCTTTCTTGTGTAATGCTTCTACTGAGTCTTAGAGAATAAAGAAAATGTTATTAAAAGATTGCTTTTTATGTGTAACTAACAAAACATTAATAAAGTAAGGGATATATTTTTCTTATGTTGTAGGAAAATAATTATCTCGTGTTGTAGAAATAAAAGTATAAGTGAGACCCACAAGTAAGAGAAGAGAGAAAAAAGAATGGTGGGACCCAACCTCTTTTTGTGTGTGTAGGAAAATTGTTTATCTCATGTAAAATGAGATAAGAAAAACCCATAAAGTAATGGATGAAGTAGTTGAGAAGAAATTTGAAAAATAAAATGCCTTAATACCATCCCAGTTAAAGCTGTCAAATTAAGGGGATTCAATTACCCGAGCGCGAGTTAGGTATTGAACTAGAATCTCAGCTTAATTATTATCTCTTTCTATCTATTGTTTTCTTTGTTCGAATATTTACAATTCTAAAGTCTCCGTACAAATTTTAAGCTGTTTATTTGTGGTATTTTTAAGAGAAAATAAAGTGTTTTTTAATTAAAAATATATATTTAAATTTATATAATAATTAAAGAAGTTAAACAAAATAAAAGCCTGAAAAGTATTTAAATATTTATTTCGTAATTTTAAATAAATAATTTCTAAAAAAAATACTAACAGAAAAGTTAAATCGTATAAATATTATTTTTTTTCATTTGTCCATTCACACTCTTCAAATCTAATAATAACAACACACCTTAACTCCCCAAATACAGATCACCATGCATGTGCTGGGCGAGTGTCACATTATTTGCTAATATCTGTCACATGGGAAAGACTTTTTTTTAAGTAAATTTTTTTCTAAAATAAATAAATAAGACATAAATTAAAATACATGATATTTTAAAATTTTATTTTCCCCTAATATCATAAATTTTATCATAATATTGAATATTTTTTTTTTTTCCAAATCCCAAATCGACGTCGTTTTATAATTGTAGGAGATAACTTTATTTTCTGAAGAAATGTTAATCCCTTCTTTAAATGATTCAAGGGTTTGGTGTTTGTCATTTTAAATGACATAAGTTATGTCATTTTAGGAGAGAGATAGACACAGAAAAATGGAAATCATGGGAAAGAGAAAGTGTGTGGTTTTTTTTAATTTAAAATTCAAATTTTCTGTGTCTGTATCTCTCTTAAAATGACATAACTTTCTGTCATTTAAAATGACAAGCACTTTTCCCATGATTCAATATATTAAATTAAAATCATAATAAAATTTAAATTAAATTAAGGAAAATCAGGTTATTCCGTATTATAAAGGTTGTGAGCGGCTTATAGTTGGTTGGTATATCATAGGAATAGTGTTTTAAAATTCCGCCTCATTTCGGGGTCGATCCCTCCAAGCTACTGACTCCCTCCCTCTCTAAGAGGGTACGAGTTAGTAGTTAAACCCTACTCTCACGTTGACTCCTCTAATCCCCGAAACCCTCAAGTTGAACCCTTGACTCCGGGGTCAAAGGGGTCACTGTAATTTTTTTTTTAAAAAAAAATTGTACACAAAATGATGTCATTTGATGTGTAAAAGAAAAAAACAAAAACAAAAACTCTTTGCTGCCTTGATTTAAAATTAGATCTGAAATCTGAATCGTTCTTCTTCTTCTCTTTTGATCTTCTCTCTTTGACTCAGACTCAGTCTTCCTATTCCGATGATCTCCTCCTCTGTGCTGGTTCTTCTTTCCCCACCGTTAATTTGTCCTGTCACCGCTTTTCCTCCGCTATTATCTATTGGATAAGGGATCTCCTTTCACGTACTATTGTAGGTGCATAATAAGAACAAGAAGGGCTTGAGTTTGATGATATAATTTTTCATTAACTTCATTGGAATATATGTTTTATACTTTGATAGTTTGATTAGCTTGTGAATATTGATTTGTATATGTAATTGGTTGAATTATGTTAAGTATGTTAATAATTGGTGGTTTGATTTTTTTAAATTTTTCATATAGAATATATATTTATATTTTTTTAATGTATGAAACCAGGTCAGCGAAGTGATCCCGTGACCTTTAACCTCGGTCGGGTCGATGTTTGGGCCCAGTTTTTATACACTACGAATAGGTGGCCCATACAAAAATGACGAATCGAAATATCGAATCGTTCTCCTACAATATGCTAAACTACATAGTAGGTCCAGTTTGCATCAAACCTATCTATAAGCATTTGGATTGGATTAGGATTATGTAGCACTGTCACATAACCGAGATTTTGAGGAAAGGGGAAAATTGAGAGAGGAGGAAATCACAGAGAGGAAAAGAGAGATTTGTGGCAAAATTCCTATGCCTTTTCTGATTATTCAACTTCAATAAATAGAGATTATGTAAAGATAAACTATAATCGTAACAGAATTTAAATGCAGCAAAGATAAACTCTTATCCTAATAATCCTAACAGAATTTAAATGCAACAAAGGTAAGTTCTTATCCTAATAGAATTCAAACGCCGTAAATATAAACTATTATCAAATACGACTCCTAATTGCGATAAGTCCAAAACGCAAGATAATATAAACAAACTAAAATATAATCAGCCCATCTTGTAATCCTTGAAGTGCATGGGTGTTTTGGTGTCTCTCTTGGGCCTTGTGTATGTTTGGGTTGCAACATCCGCCGGTCCATCAAAGAGAACTTTGTGCACAAGGTTCAGAATGTTTCTAGAAGAATTGCTCTCAGCATCTGGATCAACGGATGGAATGTGATTAGCTGATGCATGATGTGTGGTTATGATCATGTTTTTTGGGTTGGTGGACATGGATAAGGGAAGCTGATTGGGCAAAACACCATTGGCTCGAAATCTTGGGGCGTCTCTCTGATTGGCTGAAGTAGTGGGCATAATAGTCGTTGGGGAGATAACATTGGGTG